AGCCATGAATTTATCGAGGCCCACTGAAGATAGGCTCAAGGGGGAAGTTCACGCTATGACGAGCTTCAACCTGTCCCCACGAACAGCAGGGAGAGAAATACTCCTCCAGTTTGTCACGGCTGGATGTAATTGTAGTATAAAGAGGGAGAAAGTCGACACTGCTCAGTGAGCTTGGATTTTTAGGCTCGATTGTGCTATGGCAGTGTGTGAGTTTTAGCGCTGTGTGTTCTATACAAATAATCTACTGTTGTATTATTCGCTTCTTTTAACGTTGAAATCGGATGAGTTCGAGCCGCGGAAGAGGCCTGCTTGTTGTAGTTTCGGAGACCTGCTTTCCATCCCATGTGGACAGGCTCGAGTGGGTGTGGCGATATAGCCTCTCCAATTCTTCTGACGTCCTGTTTTAAAGTGGGGAGTTGAACACTGTTTACCAGGGCGACGATGAATCTTATCCTAATAGTTTTCCTGTTTTAAAGGAGCTGCTGCATTTAATGCAGATTTTAAAGGACTCCATAGTGTTGGCCCACCGTTTGGTCAATGGACGGAGGGGACTGCAGCTGCTGGTGAATGGTTCACCATGCAGCAGTATTCAACATATGCCTGTATTAGTTCTTTGAACCTGTGATAGATTATATCATTTAAGGTTCTTTTCTTTATGGTTTTATCTTGCGGGACAGGGAAAGTCCTCCCAAAGCCGAGATCAAACGTGATCACGAAATGGTCAGAACAGCAACGAGCTTTGACGCTGGATGTCAAACATTGGAGACATCACAGCCGCGGTCCGGACAAGGTCCAAGGTGTGGTTATGAATGTGAGTAGGTTCCTCGACATTCTTGAGTAAAAACAACACCATCTAGTACGGCGCTGAAAGCTTTGTTTAAGCTGTCAGTGCTGTCGTCACATGTATATTGAAGTCTCCTGATTATAAACTATGTTTCCAATTCCAAAAACTAGGTTGAAATGAAGTCAGAGAATTCGTGAGGACACTCGCTGTAAGGACCAGGGTTCGGTATAAAAACTATCATAGTTACTGCGTTTTGTTTTCTTCCACCCAGGACAGGTGATATGAAAGTGTTAAGTTTTCAAACGAGTGAAAGCGGTGTTCGTTTGTTTTGGGACTAAGAACCCCAGTTGGTGTGTGATATAATGCAACACCACCGCCGCGACTGTAGTTCTGGCTTTCTGGTAGGTAACATCGTCCGGAGGCCGTGCACCCATTCAATCTAACGTAGTCGTCCTGTTGGGCCAAGTCTCCGATTGAGCGCAAACAGATCCAAGCCCTTGTCTATAATACGTTTGTTTATGAGAAGCGATTTAGACGAAGATTGATCTGACGGTCATTTTAAACCACATTTAACAACCCTTACTGTTAGAACTATTTTCTGTCTGGAACTTTTATTAAGTTACTGTGTCTGACACCCAGGTCTGATTTCTCATATAGTGCTCTTAGACTTCAAGCGAGGACACACACAGTTTCAATCTGACTAGGTTCTGAGGCTAGTAACTGCGCACACACACACACACACACACACCACACACACACACACCACCACACACACACACAAACACACACACACACACCACACACACACACACACACACACACACACACACACCACACCACCACCCAACACCACACACACACACACAGATTCAATCTGACTAGGTTCTGAGGCTAGTAATGAGCACACACAGGCACACACACACATGCACACACAGTTTCAATCTGACATATGCTTCTGGGCTAGTAACTGAACAGATGGGGCTCAAGAGTTGTGGCAGAGCAGCTCTGCACCGGGCCTCAGTTCTGCTCCGTCATTTGAGCCGAGCAGAACAGATTAGAGCAGGGCCAAATTCTTAGCCAAAAGGATGTACCCCGCAAAGTTGGGTGGATATCATCGAGCGGAATGAGGGACCGGGCTTTCCCAAAAGGCACTCCAATTGTTCACTGAAACAAACACCACTTGGAGGGCACCAGCCAGACAGCAGCGGTTGAAAGTCCGAGTGGTTGCCTGAATGCTTCTGCACTGTAGTGCTAGTAGGGGCCAAGGAGAAGATGACAGTGGTTGCCATTGTGCTAGCCAGCTTGCACCGGCGGCGACTTTGCAGCTTCAACACCTCGGACTGTTTCGCCGAACGTCATTACCACCCGCGTGATAACAATTCGACCGGAACGCTGCTTGTGGGTCATCAGAGCCTCAGATTCCCTTAATATCACCAAGCCTGGCCCAGGGAAGACACCGAAACAGTGGCTCCTGGGGATACTTCACACCTCTAACAAGAGAGGAGCCATTACCAGCGCATCAGCGACTCCATCGGCTCTCTCAGCAGCTATCTTCAGCAGCTCTCTCAGCAGCTCTCTCAGCAGCTCTCTCAGCAGCTCTCTCAGCCAGCTCTCTCAGCAGCTCTCTCAGCGGCCTCTCTCAGCAGCTCTGCTCAGCAGCTCTCTCAGCAGCTCTCTCAGCAGCTTCTCAGCAGTCTTCAGCAGCTCTCCTCTGCGGCTCTCTCAGCAGCTTCTCTCAGCGGCTCTCTCAGCGGCTCTCTCAAGCAGCTCTCTCAGCAGCTCTCTCAGGGCTCTCTCAGCAGCTCTCTCAGAAGCTCTCTCAGCGGCTTCTCTCAGCAGCTCTCTCAGCAGCTCTCTCAGCAGCTCTCTCAGCAGCTCTCTCAGCAAGCTCTTCAGCGCTTTCAGCGGCTCTCTCAGCAGCTCTCTCAGCAGCTCTCACAGCAGCTCTCTCAGCAGCTCTCTCAGACGGCTCTCTCCGAGCTCTCTCAGCGGCTCTCTCAGAGTCTCTCAGCAGCTCTCTCAAAGCAGCTCCTCTCAGCGACTATCCAGCGGCTCTCTCAGCGGCTCTCTCATCGCTCTCTCAGCGACTCCATCGGCTCTCTCAGCGGCTCTTCTCAGCGGCTCCCTCAGGGCTCTTCAGAGGCTCTCTCAGCGCTCTCTCAGTGGGGCTTCTTCCCCGACCAGAGGTCCCAGCGATTGTAATGCTAACAGGAGGAGGCCCATTGGGGAAACTACCACACAACACGTGGCCCTCTCGAAACAGTTCCACAAAAAGCCATCACTTCCTGGTCTTCGTCCCAGCTGCGGAGGAGGGCTGGGACGCTAGGTCGTAGTTCTCCTCTGCTTTCCCTACAAGCTGCGCTCCGCTGACCCTGTGGATTACGGGCTGGCCTGTAGATAATGCCTAGCGCTAGCTCGAGAATCCAGATGCTCGGAGACGCAGCTCGAACTCACTGACCCTGGATTCCAGATGCTACGACTACTCTACACTTCACACATCTATCACTACCCCTCCCGAGAAGGATCCGGGTTAGACTCGCCCTATGGCAACTCGAGCAGAAAGGCTGAGGGTGAGAAAGCAGCCGCATAGGAGTAGCGAGGTAGACAGCTAGGCCTAGGGTAAGCTAGGCTAGGCTAAAGCAGTACGCTCCGGGCACGCACAACAGACTCGAGACCAGACAAACAACGCTACTACACTCAGCTGCAGTACAGCTGGACTCGGAGGGCTTACACAGTTAGCTTGGTGTAATTACGTGGATTTTGTAATGTGTTTGTTAGTGCAAACAGCGAGACAGCGGATAGCAGTCAAGAAACACGCTCACGGATACAGGAGTCACGTCACCGTGGCTTTTGATTGAAAACAGTCATCATTACAAGTCAGTGGCACATAACTTAATATAAGTATTTTTAGTCTTATGCTCGTGTTGTCTCAATTTTCTGTGACCTCGCCTTTTCCTTTGATAACAACTTTTTTTCTGTTAAAAATAAACTACAAACTATCGCCACTGCCTCCTTCTTCGTCGCCACGATGGTTTCACTTGAAGTAATGCTTGATCTCAGAGAGTTTGTGAGATTTACGTCTGATCTGGGAATGCTCGGGGGAGAATCGGTTTGTGTGCGGTTTGTAAGTAAGTAAAGATACGTTTTTATTTATATACCGCCTTTCACCTGCAGATCTGGGTCTCAAAGAAAAACGGTCTTACAATTGTTAATTTTGTGGCAGTAGTCTCTCACTCCACACAGAGACTGGGTAGCCAGGGCCAGTAAGGAGGCGCATGCCAGAACTATTGTACATATTTTTAGTGGTAGGGGGGAAAACGGAGTACCGGAGGAAAACCCCTACGCAGACACAGGGGAACATGCAAACTCCACTCAGAAAGCCCTGGTCCGACTGGGATTAGAACCCAGGACCGTCTTGCTGAGAGGCGAGAGTGCTATCCACTCAGCCACGTGCCACCGTTTGTGTGATTTCGCGTGT